GGGAATTTTAGAGAAGAAGCTCACGGCCTACCTCAAAATTCAAGAACCACAACCAAAAATTAGAGTAACCCAAGTTAAATCAAGGCTAAGGAGATGATTTCTTGGCTGTGGCTTACCAGAAAAATGTCCAGAATTCGCACAAGCTGCAGCTCGCGGACGGCAGAGGGAGGAAGACGCAGAGCAGATCTAGAATTTCTGGGTTGGGAGAGAGAGTTCTAAGCTTGAAACTTGGTTCTTGAGCAAGAAAAGAAGGATAAAATCAAGCTTTCTACCATTGCCCGCGGCTGGCACTTTTTTTTTTTTTTTTTTTTTTCGGCTGGGCTGCAACGGGGAGGAGAAGAAGAAGAGCAGAATCGGGCTGAGAAGACGAAAGAAGAAAAAAATGCCAGCCGATCCTTATCCAAAATTCTTTCATCTTTTAAGTCCCTCAACCTTCAAACTTTTGGCTATTAAGTCCTAGAATAATATTTTTCCACAATTTAATCCTTAACTCACACGTATTTATCCTAGAAATTTTTGGGGTATCACAATGAAGACATTAATTGATAGCTGACAACCAAACTGTATCTTAGCTCGGTTATTTATAGGAAAACTACATAACCAAAAATTTGATTGACCGTCCAAACCGATACTCTCTCACCCTATTTATGGGGGAAAAAATGTCATGTTTATCAAATTCGAAAAGGGTTAATTCCTTTTTGTCATGTTCATGATTAATAAGCCCATATTTTTAAGTCGTAAGTAAATGGATCAATTATTGATGGAGACGGTGACAGGGGAAGGAAGATTATGCCGACAAATGCAGGGGACAAGCATGCAAAAGTAGGGGAAATGGGGAAGTGAGCATCCATGCGATATTGGACAAAACTCAAAAAGAGAAGTGAATTGGTGAGCAAAATGTTATTCAGACCACTTGATTGTGAACATTCAACATCAAATTTGTTATGCCGTCCACAAGACAAGCAAACCTGTCCAAGGCAATAATCCCAGACAAGGACATCAAAGATGAAATATGCTCGAAAAACTACCATACGATTATGGGAGAAGGGAAGAGGGGAAGGAGTTGGGGGTGAGAAAGTATGAAGGTGAAAGAAAGTTACTTAGAAATGTCTCTGTGATCATTGGGATAATCATTAGATAAAGAAAAAGAAGAGGCAGAACCTTTCGAAAGGTAAGCAAAGGGAAATTCAAAACAAACTAAAGCTATGGTTGAGATTGCTATGTAAATGTTGCGGTTGTTCCCATATTGTACCATCCAAAAACTATGTTATTATTTGATTATTATTTTGTAGTTATGTACATCTGTATAATTATTAAAAAAATCAATGTGTTTTTCAGCTCAGATTGTAGCAGGGTGAAAGTGCAGATCCCAAACACTGGCTTCCATATTTGCCTGGTCAGTGATGATTCTAGTTCTGACAATGTCATTGCATGCTAAATTCTCTGTTTGACAACCTGCCATTTATAATTCAAAGATTGATACCATTAGATTTTCTGAGTGTAAAATGGTGTCACGTGTTATCTATGTTGTTAGGTATTCCATGTTGGTAGTTGTTGGTGTAAATCTTTTCAGATAAGATTGAGTAATTATTACCACAACGACAGCAAAATTGTTACCTTGTTGCGAACTTTCAGGAGGATAATCGACAGTATCAACAAATTAATCGATTTGTTTTAGATATCACGCTGCCGTTGGTTGTTCAAGATTGCTGCCATGAAGTAAAAGACCAGCCTCTTACACAATTAATCCAACGCTATTTATATTTTAGTTTTACAAGTAATGTCTTAGTTTAGATCCAGTTTTCTCAAACAGCTTTTCTAATTGAGTCTTTAACTCTACGCTGCCATTAGTTTTAACTTAGATTTTTGTTATTTCGTTGTGAACATCTCCACTCGATGTATTTAGTTTTCTGCAATTCAATTTACTGCACTTTGTCCCAAATTCATCTTTCTAGTTTCTTTTAAGTTTTGTTTTATACTTCATCTTTTATTTTATTCTTTATGCTTTTGCAATTTAGTTTTCTCGCCATGCACTATCTTTCTTCTCTTTTTCTTTATTTTTCTCTTTTATTTTGATCAACAAACTAACATTTTGGCTCTAGTTGTGGGAAGTCCCTGATGTTCTTCCAGGACAATTATTTATAGACCTTTATGCAGTAATACACCCCCATTTCTGCAACAATCATTTGACCAGGGCACATCTCATAATTTATTTAACCGGTGCTCTTCTATCAACTCGTAGCCGAGTTTCACGCGTGGAAATAGTGAGGGTTACTGGGAATCCCTTTTTCTCACTTTGAGCAAAGTAAGTGGCACACCTTCGCAGTTTTATCTGCCACACCGCCTGAAAGGGAGATTTTGGAGACAACAGTATTACTTACCATATCTTGCCAACCACCATCCGCATTTGACAATTGTTTTTGGAAAATGGATGAGAAGGTAAGCTAACATGGGACTCAAGATTGATCTCTAACTCTCCTAACCACTAATGAATAATTGACATAATGAAATAGATCACCTACCTATAGTAAGAGAAGCCTGTGTTTTCTTATATAAACTAAACAAATTCCCTTTGCTTCCACACTTGAAAAAAAAAAAAAGGGGAAGATTATACTTGTTTTAAGTCTTGAGAATCACTACAATGGCATCTTTCAACAGCTTCATCTTGGCCTTCTTCATGGCATTGACATTTTCTGGCATCAACGTTTGCCTGGCAGCTCGTCAACTTCAGCAACTGCCACCACTGCCTAAAACAATGCTACCACCATTACCATCTATTCCAACACTGCCACAGCCTACAATACCAACATTGCCAACTACCCAGCCAACTCTGCCTCAGCTGGGAGCTCTAACACCGCTTCCAACCATCCCTTCTACCATACCATCCTTCCCAAAGGTCACCCTTCCACCATTGACCAGCATGCCCTCAATCCCCAATATTCCAACTTCAATTCCTATCCCATTCCTCTCTCCAGCACCTGCCACCACTAGCCCTTGAGAAGATGCCCTTTATGTTAATGAAAAACAGGGTCCTGGACCTTGCCATTGGTATGGTGTAATTGCAATTCGCTCTCATGTCTCCTTGTTGTATCAATAGCGAGATATTACCAACCTTGATTATTTGTTTCTATTCGTTTCATATTTTATATAAACAGTGTGATAGTTCATTCTTTTAATAGAATTCTGGTTTTTAGCACCGTCCATCCTTTTTCTCCATTTAAAATGTTCTCAACAAATTCCTATTAAAGAAAATGAATAATACATATCTAAAATTAAGAAGCAGAGAAGGTAAAAAGACAACATTTATTCAGCCAAAAAAAAAAAATCAAATTATCAATACAGAAGTAATGCTCAAATAAAGTACTTCAGGGATTTGATTAAGTCTGCACAGACTATCACAATGGATACCAATTTCAATCTAACCTTCTGAAATCTAAATGTTTGCTTACTCGAAACTCTGTAGTTTAAAATTCTTGCATTATATCCCATTATTGAAATATGAAATACTGGTATACAGTAGACATGTAGCAATTGCACAAACCTGAGTTATAGGTTTCAAAGTTCCAGTTTCATCAGTTTCCATCACCATCAGTCCACACAACTGACAACAGGAAGCAAAAACAGCAATCAGAAAGACCGAATTCAAGCTGCATTTGATAAGAATATCCACTGAAAATGGATCCAACCCACTGGTCATAATAAAACGCATTTCATATGGATAGCTTTCATCTTAACAAGGAATGGTCCCTAACGGCTAAACAAAACTAGACAATCATTCCTGATTACCAATCAGTTGAACCGAGGCAATAAATTCTAGAAGGATCCAACAACAATAGCAGCAGAAAAGCAAATACAACAAATCAGCCAAGTAAATCTAAACAACAATAGCAGCAGAAACAAAATAGAAAAAACCTTCAGACTGATGAAAATCAAAGAAAGAAACTATGATAAGAAACCAATAATTTAATGTATACCTTTGTTGTTTCATTGAACTTTAATGGACTCAACAAATCCATTGCTGAGAAGCCTCTCAACATACTTCCCAAGTATATCCACCTCCAAGTTCACCTTTTGCCCAACTTTCTTCAAAGGAATCACTACCTTCTGCTGAGTATAGGCCACCAACATAAAATTGAAACAACTCTCCTCATCAAAAACATCCACCACCGTCAGACTAGTTCCATCTACTGCAATATACCCCTTTGGCACAATATACTTCAGCAGACCTTTATCAGCCCTAACCTTAATCCACAATGAATCCCCCTCGGGCTCCATCCCCACTATCTCTCCGGTGCCATCTACATGTCCCTGCACGAAATGTCCCCCCATTCGACCAACGGGCTGGACGGCCCGCTCCAAATTCACCAGCGACCCTTTCTCCAATTCACTCAATGAAGTTTTCCTCAAGGTTTCAGGGGATAAGCCAACAGTGAATTCTCCCAAATGGGTATCAAAACGTGTGACTGTCAAGCAGGTTCCATTAATGGCGATGCTGTCACCAAGGTTTACGCCTTCAAGAACAGTTTTTGCGTGGATTTTGAGGTCGACTCCACCGTCATCAGTGACACCCAGTTGCTGGACTTCTCCCATTTCTTCAACGATGCCGGTGAAGAGGAATCGAATTGTCAACATTCTGTGCTTCCGCATTTTGGGTTTGATTCTACATGTTTGAGTCAGATGAGATAACGAAAAAGGCTTTGAAATGGGACTGCGTTGCAGGTAGGTAATTTGGGGTTGAGTTGTTCGGAGGTTATAGACTATTGGGGCTTTGGAGGGGGCTATCCTAGTTAATTTGGAGATGGAAGTGAGAGAGGAAGTCAATGCCATTGCTCCTCTTTCGTTCAACAGTGGATTCATGCTGGGTTATGTTTTGGCTTTAAAACCCTAAACCGGGTACCAAGAAGAAAACGGTGCCGTTTCAATATTTCCATTAGTTGAGTTTATTTCGGCCAACTTTAACTTAAAACTTAAATTAAAACTTAGAAAAGAAAAAGAAAAAAAAATTAGAGATATACTGCGGTCTAGGATATGGCTGCACAGCAAATTAATAAAGGCACACCAAATATTATAAATGTGTCTAAATTTGTCTAGTTTATAATTATTTTTAGGTGTTTAAAAATATCATTTTATAAGTTAATTTTAAATTATTAATTAATAAATATTAACTGTTTATACAATATTAATTAATAATTATAATTATTAATTATTCTTAACAGTTAAATTAAATATAATTATAATTTTTTTTTGTGACCCTAACAATTAGTTATGTGGCTAACGCCATGACCATAGTTGTATACTGATGCTTACTCTTAAACTCTGTTCGGTTTCACAGATAATAACAGCATATAACTGTTTTTCGTTAGCTAATTGGTTAGCCTGTTTGGAAAAAAATCTTAATATGTTGATTTCTAACATATTAGTTACTTAGATATTAAGTATCAACTACTACTTATTTTTATTAACCAAATCAAACAAAACATAAGTATAAAACTTTAGTTTAAAGTTTAAAAGATTTTCCACGTAAAAGAAAATGATGAAATGAATTTTTATATATTTTAATTTATTATTTTAGCCTTTTATTAATTCTTGAATAGGTTGAGCATGACTTTATTTGGATTTTACATATTTTTATTATTAGCGAAAAAAGGATTGAATGAAAAACCCAAAAGTTGTAGTAAATAATTGAAAAGTGTTTAAAAATTTAGATACTAATTTTTTTTTAAAAAAAGTAAAAATTAAGGACCATCTTGAACAAGGAGGAGGCTTGAGGATCAAAGATCTTGCAACAGAAAGTGGAAGGACCTAATGCCAGTTTACAATTAAAGCAATTGCAAAAATCCAAAAACCAACACGGACGGTCTATCGACACCACCTAGCCAGTGTCCATACTATGCGTCAACAATTTTTCCAATGGTGTCGACACGTATGCAATTTTTAACAACTTTTCTCTTGCGTTTTTATTTTTTGGCATGGATGTTCTTAGCTTATTCAACTCTTTTCTATAGCTGCTTTAGGGCCTTTAAGACTGAATTAGTGCTTTCTTCTAGGTTTTCGATTGCTATAAATACTTTTCAAGATAAGATTTTGAGATTTTTTGAAAAATTAAAAAGGAGGTAAAATAACACTTGATTTTCCAGTTTAATGATATCAGGTCACGTATAAGTACATTTTTTTTCCCTCAAAACAACGGTTTCAATTCGACACTTTGTAAATTTGTTAAAAAAAAAAGAAGATAAGAACGAGTAAATGAATATTAAAAATAATTAAACTTAATTATTTTATATCATTAATTAGTCTTCCTATCTTTAAATTTTTTATGATATTAAATATTTTTATATTTGTTATAAAAATTTTAAATTTTTTAACTATGAATTAATTTAATCATTTAAAGTTATAATGTTGCGTAATTAATTTAATATAAAATTTTATAATTTTTATGTTTTCAATGCTTGCTATATAATGTATAGTATTTTTTTAATATTTTTAAATAATAACTTGCCCTAAAAATTGATTTAGATAGCATAATTGTGATCAAGAAAAAAGTTTTTTTGGAATAACTTCGTAATATATAGGGTAATGATATGAGATTATAAGAACAATCTACTTGTACAATTTTTATTTACAACTTCTATATATTATTAAATTTACACAAAAATAAAATAAGTTAATAAGTGAAAATAGGTTTAGTTTAGTTTAAGAAAGTATATTGAATATTTAATAAAATTCATTTATCACATAAATAGTAAATATCTTATAAGCATATTAATCTAAATCTTATATTAGTTGATTATTTATAGTGAAGTTATCTTAAATCTTGGTGTCACTCAAATAAACATATTGTTTTAATTAGTTTATTTAATAAAACTTATTATAGTTACAATATATGATATTGTAAATTTACAACATGATAGTCATAATATAGTCTACTCTTTTCATTCTAAGATTCATCTATGATATTGTATATATGCATTAATTATCATATCATACTCATTTAATGTCACATTATAATTATAAATTTATGATTTTACGTGATATTATAACTATAATATTATTGTTAATTAATTAATTAAGTCTTTTAATTTTAATTATTTAGATAAAATTAAAACATTAGTACTTAATTAGTTTACAGCTTTCAGGGGATGGTACTAAACTCTACTCATCATATTACTTCTGCTTAAAGAAAATTATCATTGGAAACAGTTGATTACCACTATTACAATCCCTAGTTTTGATAAGTGTATCAAAGATTTAGAAGTTAAAATTTATAATAGCTCCCAATTCAACTTCTTCACAATCTACCCTAATAATATTTCTACAAAAGCAAAAAAGGTCATAGAACTTTTTGATTTTCTC